TCTTCTCTAGTTGCAATAATGTAGTCCTCTCCGATATTTTTATCTGATGTTTTCAGGCCTCTCCAAAACTAAAAAAAATCGGAGAGGGCTACATTATTGCAGCTACTTCTTCTCTTGAACAGCTGAACCAATTTTTGTATATAGCATCTTAGAGTTAAGGCAAACAAATATTTTAAATATCAAAGTCTCCCTGGGGCCTGAAGAGTGGGCCAAAAGTTCAGAATTAACATAATCTTCTGGTAAACTGTAGGCATGAACATAAGCAGTGAGTCCTTTATCAATTTTATGAAATTCATGGCTCCTTGGTTTAGGCTGCAGGGTAGGGCTAAGATATTCATAATTTGAAGTTGCATAACATCGCGTTCTTCACTCATGGATATTTAGAAACAAGCTATTTGTATGATTATAATAAGCAGTGAGCTCTTTGCCAAAACCATAAAATTATCAACCACTCAGGGTCCATGGTTCAGGCTTAGTTGGTCGTAATTTTTTTAAAAGTATAATCTTCATTGCCCAAGACATACATCTTATAGCATTTAGTAAATATAACAAACATATATAGGCCTAACACAGATATAACACATCTGGTCGTAAATTGAAAATGCATTTTGAAAAGCTTTCCCTATACATGGCCATTAATAAGGCATACCATTTCCCTGAATATTATATACACTTCTTGCTATACCAAAATAATGAACTTCATGGCCCTTGGCTCATGATTTGGCTTCGGGGAGACCCTACGTTGGCCATGTAGTTTAAATGCGATCTCCTTTACTCATAGACATTAACGGGCAAATTATTTTCATGTCAGTGATGAGCACTCAACCTTTTACCTAAATTGTAAAATTCATGGCCCTTATAGATGATTGGTTCAGAGTTCATCATGGTGCCCATGGGGCTAAGTTGGTCATATAATTGAAAATACATTACAATCTGAAAATCCTTACTCTTGGACATCTGGCTGACTGGAAATTTATAACTGCAACTTAGTCCTCTATCAAAGTTGTAAAATTCTTGGCCCCCGCACTAGGGCTCAGGCCCCAGGGTAGGGGTAAATTGGTTAAATAATTAACTAATTAATTAAATAAATAATTAACTAATTAATTAAATAATTAATATTAAATTTAGTCATTCATTGAAATTTATTATAAAACTTACCTTATTTTCTTTATACTCCTGAACTTCTAGGGAAAAGTTTATGAACATGATAATGAACTTCAGATTCCTTTCCAAACTGTAAAATTTTTTGAGACATGAGTCTAGCATCGCGTTTTACAAAATAACTTACGACCAAGACCAACATCTATTTTTGCAATTTATTTCATTTAACGTCTTATGTGAATAAGAAGAATTAAGCTATGTAATTCAATATAGGAAGAATCTTATTAAAGTATTAAGTTAGCTAGCATTTAATTACTAGAAAGTAAAATTTCAGACTTGGTCCTATTAAGTTAATTTTATAAAATCAAGTGGCCAAGTGTTTAAGTTCCTGGTGGAGTCTAAGTGATCATAGATCTCCGACAACCGTCAAGACCCATTGACCTCTTGTTTTATTCTTTAATTATCTCTCCATTAAATGGGTAGTAACCTTTTATTTGAGCAATTTGTACCCCCTCACTGAAAGTTTTTTTGTACCAAAGTAATTTGCAATTTACCGTGTTGTTCTAGAGAAATTTTTTGAAATGTGTAGAGTTTAGGGATAACACAAGACAGACATACAGACAAGCGAGATACACACTTCCATCCGAAATCCTCAGATGAACCTTTGGCTCAGGTGATGTAAAAATTGCTTAAAACAAGAAATCTCTGATCTAAATAGATATCTCAGGAAAGCATAGACACATGGGCTTCTTCTTCTGTAGAATCACCCTCCTACTGCAAGAAATTTGACACAAAATATACTTTTGTACAAAGGTGTTTAGCTTTTTCCAATGTAGGGACACGAAGCGGTCAGTGGAAAAATAAAAGACTAACTTAAAGGTGCTTAGACACAGATTTGAAGTTAATATTTACTCAAATTTTCTGTATAATTTCATGACGTATATGTTGCTATATCATTTCATACGAAAATTTGATAAAAATCTTATTTTATCTGGAAGTTATTGAAACTTCGAATTTCTGGACGCGTTTGATAGACACATCCTTGCACTTTCACAAATTTTAACTTTATCCTTAGTACTTTAGAAAAGTAGCAATTTTGTTGTTTATTAATGAAAAATATTAAAACTATAATGCAGAAATTCCAGAGTTGAAATATAGAAAGCAAAATCCTCTCACCAGTATTGTCAGTCCGTGCTCAGTGGTGTGTGCAGAGTTTAACAATTGAACACACCCGGTGAAACGTAAACATTAACAATAACAGAGCTCGTGCCCTGTTTACAAAAACAATTTACGTTTCACGGGTGTATTCAATTTGTTAAACTCTGTACACAACTACACAACAATGAGCACGGGCTGACAATACTTAAGTGAGTGGGTTTTGCTTTCGCACATTTTTCCTCTGAATTTTCTGGATTATAGATGTAATATTATTCATTAATACACAACAAAATTGCTACTTTTCTTAAGTATTGAGGATAGAGTTAAAAATTGTGAAAGTGCAAGGATGTGTTAATCAAACGCCTCCCGAAATTCGTAGTTTCAATAATTTCCAGATTAAATAAGTTTTTAATTTTATTTTCGTGTAAAATGCTATAGCAACATATAAGTTGTGATATTATACAGAAAATTTGAGAAAATATAAACTTCAAATCTGTGTCTAAGCACCTTTAAGTGATGTAAATAAATGAAATTCCGTTATGGCAATGTAGCAGGGGAAACTTAATCGTCTGTAATGCGAGTTACAGTTGTCAAATTATATCAAGATTTAATTTAATCTCGGAATATGAATGAAATGCATATCTTAAATCGTTTCGACGGTACAGAAAGGTTAAAAATGTGTGATATTAAAAATTTCATGCATTCTGCATCATTAAAGAGGACAACTTCTGTCCGTAAAAAAATATATATATATATATATATATGATATGTATATAATTTCTATATTTTTGTTTATTTAACTTAAAAAAAAATAGAGAAATTGTCTGATGGAGCAATCAATTTGGTAAACTGAGCCTCGATTTATATACGAGGTCAAAAAAATTATTATATTTTAAAGTTGATTTCTCGATGAGATCCTACTTTCAGAACAACCCTATTTAAGGATTCATCACATTATACTCCTAATGTGACCGCTTTTTTCTCAATCTGCGAAATGTGATGTCTTAGTATTCCTTGTAGGAAGTGTAATCAAGGCGCACAATCGCCAAATTTGTTGAAATAATAATCGTTGTGAATATCGTAACATTATAATAATTTGAAGATTTTATATTTTTATGCAAATAAGACGTCCTTCCAGTGCAAAACAGTTCATGTCATGCTCTCTTTGATGATTGTTTCTACTGTCTCTTAGCTGACACTCGTTAGCATCGTCTCGTTGGATTTATTAAAACGCATTGCAACATTCATAAGGCTATTTTTCTCTCTATAAAAATAATCAATGAAAACGTGCGCATTAACTTATTTGAAAGGCTATTACTAGCTAGTATTCTTGTATTGAATTTACTGCTTGGCGCATCAAAAATCAAGAGTATCTAAAAGTGAAGCACAGTGACGCACTTCATCTTTAAAGGGACCTTTTTATATCGTATAAACTTTCGAAGAAAATGATTTAAAACTTTGCCATAAATTTTGATAAAAGTAATCAGACTTTTTGTTTTTCGCTAGTTAAGAAAATTATTGAGTTGTAGAATTTCAAAGGTATAAACGATATCTGAACCAGAATGTATTCAAAAAATTCTACATGAAAAGTAGTCTCTTGCTAGCTGTGACCTTCAATTGAACATTTGGGTATATCGACGACTTTTTATCAAATAACAATATTCATACTCATTCCTACGTTGATTCGATATATTAATTCATTTGAACTTGGAATAAAATATACATGTACCACAGAGTCTGACACATCTGGTTCATATTTGGATATTTTACTAGAAAAAGACTTTAATGGTTACCTAACACAAACCTTTATGATAAACGTGACGACTTCAACTTTTCTATCGTCAACTTCCCTCATTTATGTAGCAATTTATTATTACCTACATATATGATTATGTCTTCCAGTTGATTTGATATGCAGCAGTATGCTCTACGTACGAAATATTTCTAAAACGGGGTAAGCTATTGACAAATAAGTTGATGAAACAAGAATATTACCAATCTCGTTTAAAATCAACATTGCACAAATTCTATGGTCGATACAATGATCTTGTCAGCAAATACAATCTACATATATCGTTAAGTCGAATGTTGACTGACGTTATTCATACTTATTGTTAGGCCATTATTTTCATTGAATTATCTACTGACAATTGCCCGTCCATGACAAGGAGCACGCGGGGTTGTGACCTGTCGACAGGGGATGCTTACTCCTCCATGGCACCTGATCCTACCTCTGATGTTTTAGAGGTCCGCGTTTGCTCTGCTCCAAATTTGCATGCATTGTTTCAATGGACTTTTGAGCTTGATTACTGTTCGTTATCTTCGTATTTCATTCCAATTCTTCATCATTTTTTATTCTTTCCTCTCTCAACCTTTCTGTACATTTTAAAAATGAAACCAAATCTTGTTTCTATATCTTCCTGAAGATATTTATACGCCATATATGTAACATAAACTAATACAGCAAGTTTTATGAGTCTTATGACGTATAAGAATCCCTAAAATTTATTTTTAGACGCATTATTAAGAATGAGTTCTAACCAAAATCTGACAGACTCGTCAGTAAAAAAATAAGTTTCATCAAAACAAGTAACAACATATCTATATGTGTATTATAAGCTACCGCAAGGTACTTAAATTGTTCCATTAATCTGATAAATGGCCCATGGTATAGCACTTAGAAACTATACGTTTGGTGACCATTGACCATTTTATAGTATTAAAAATCATTTCTATTGCAGCAATGAAACACGATATCTTCCAAAATTACTGCAAGGGATTTCGATGGCTTCCGTTTCGCAGACAGTCCTCTTCTACTGTTCACGCCCCCAAAGGATCCACCACCACTTTTCAATCAAAGACATTGGCAGATGTACCAGGGCCACGAGGGGTGTACAATATTCCTTTCATAGGAAACGCCCTACAGTTTTACCCATACAGTGAGTACAATTGCACTGCTTATCCATACAGTGAGTACAATTGTACCGCTTATCCATACAGTGAGTACAATTGCACTGCTTATCCATACAGTGAGTACAATTGTACTACAATTGCACTGCTTATCCATACAGTGAGTACAATTGCACTGCTTATCCATACAGTGAGTACAATTGCACTGCTTATCCATACAGTGAATACAACTGTACTACAATTGCACTGCTTATCCATACAGTGAGTACAATTGCACTGCTTATCCATACAGTGAGTACAATTGTACTACAATTGCACTGCTTACCCATACAGTGAGTACAATTGCACTGCTTATCCATACAGTGAGTACAATTGCACTGCTAGTCGCATGCAGATACATTTTATAACACCTGTATATTGAGACATAGTTTAATTAATTACGCTTATGTTATACTCTACACTAGGAAAGGACTTTTGAATACATGTACATGTTTTTTTAAATTAAACTTGCAAAAATTTAGATCGATTTCCCTCAATTAAGCAAATAAGTCTGGCTTCGGGAAACCAGATACATCTGGGATGAACACGTATTCTTGGATAAATATGTATTTTCCAAACATGTTCTCAATTCTGACATATTGCAACATATAAGGTCATTACTTTTCAGTGAAGAAGAAAGACACTCACTTGTTTTTTCAAGAGCTGCACATGCGCTATGGTAAACTGGCAAGGATGCGCCTCGGATCTAAGAACTGCCTTCTGCTTTTTGACCCGACATTGATTGGTGAGGCTATGTCACAAGAAGGAATCTATCCGGAACGATATCCTATTCAAATGATGGAGGCTTATGTGAAAAACACAAGGAGACCCCTTTTTAGTCAACAGTATGTCAAAGTTCTGAAATGTCGATTTCTTTTGCATTCGTCTTGAATTTTGATCTAACTGAAGTTAATCTATCTTAGGAAAGGACTGGAGTGGCAGAACATACGGAGCCCTGCACAACAAAGCATAAAATCATCTGTCATAAAAAGTTATTTAGGCCAACAAATCCAATGCGCCGAGGAATTGGTCACGTGGCTTGGTAACCATGGTAACAATAATCCAAACGTCAAAAAAGTGTTCATGCGATATTCGGCCGATGGTAATTGTGGTGAAAAGATTTTTTAAAAATTATCCATTTGATATAAGTAATGTAATTTAAACGGGTCAAATAAATGTTTAATTAATCATAAAATTTCAATTCTATTAGCCAATTCAGTAGTGGCGTTCGACAAAAAAATCGGTTTTCTTAAGAGTCTGGAGCACCCTGATCCTGAACTTGAACTCTTTCTACACAGCATCTCTCAGTTCATGGAGGCCATAGGTGACAGCTTATTTTCAGTTCCATGGTTTAAGTTGTGGCGAACGAAGTTATATGTGGACTTTGAGACTGCAGCTGATACAGTTTATAGGTAAATTAAACAAACGCCCAGCATGTGTTCTTCTGCCTTGATCAATAGTATCGCTCTTTTGATAACTGTTGAAACACTCCCGTGTTTCAGAATAAGCGAGAAGTATATTGATGAGGCAAGACGAGAACTGAACCGCCGAGAAGGAGACCTTCGTCTAGACCCAAGCGATGGTGACCTGACGATTCTGAAATCACTTCTACAAAATGAGCGGATGCCTGATTCCTGTACTGTAACACTGATGTCAGCGCTTCTGTATGGCGGGGTGGAACAGGTACATTGTTATCATGTGTCCAGAAAGCTGCTATGATCAGTCAATCTAGCCTTGATACAAGTCATGTATATTTAACGTAATATGTACTTCTAACTTCGTTATACTCCCCCTACCCACGCTTGAAAAGTGAGGGTATATAGTGATGGGGGTGACCGTTTGTAATAATTGGGGTAGCAACTCCGGATACAGTTTAATAAAAATTTCACAAAATATTTATTACATTGTGCATCTCCAATATTACGTTTCAGACACATAACGTGGGGTTTCTTGTAGCAAAATATGAACACTGCTATTCTTTCTGTAATATTGGGGGTGGGGTACCCATCTCTTATCAGTAACTCCTGCTATACCACTGAATAAAAATTAATGAGGATGAAATATATGGAGATAACGAACAGTATTCAAGCTCAAAAGTCCATTTAAACAATAAAAATCAGGAGCAAAGCAAACGCGGACCTCTAAAACATCAGAGGTGGGATCAGGTGACATGGAGGAGTGAGCATCCCTTCCGACAGGTCACACACGCCGTGTGCTCATTGTCATGATTGGGAAATAACGGAAAAATCCGCACATTATTCAGTGTGTAAATAATGCCTAACAATTAGTAAGAAAAACTTCAGTCAGCATTTGACTTAATTATAGATTTTATTTCTGACAAGGTCACTGTATAGACCATAGAACTTACGAAATAATGACTTCAAACGAGACTGTTGATATTCTTGTTTCATCAACTTGTTTGTCAATAACTTGCCTCGTTTTATAAATTGTTCATACGTAGAGCATGCTCTTGCATATCGAATCAACTGAGAGATATTGCTGCATAAGTAAGCTAGGAAGTTGAGGATTGAAAAGTTAAAGTCATCACGTTTACCATAAAGCTTAGTTGAGACTTTCACAGAACCTTTACATAATGGCATTGTGCACCTCCCATTTTACGTTTCGATCGGACAGATATTTAAGGAACATGACACTGCCATTCTTTCTATTATATTGGCGGAAACCATCTCTTATCAGCTCTCAGGAGCGGATCCAGGAACTCCTTTTCCAACCGTGAAAAACTTATTTCTTAACAGGGGTACACTTTTTCTAAGAGTGAGTATTTTATTTGCTTCAGTCAGTTCAGTGTATATATACTTTTTATAACTCTGCAAATTCCAGGGGATCCAGACCCCTCTCCCCGACCTCCCCCTCTAAATCCGCGCATGGCAACTCCTCCTATACCATTGAATAAAAAAAAAACATGAGATTTTCACAGATTCATTATAACATAGCGCCATGGTGCACCTCCTATTTTATGTTCTGATTGGACTGATATTTTGGGTTTCAAAAATCAAAACATGGACTTTGTCATTATTTGCATACGGGAGCGGGGAATTGTATTTTGTTAGCTCAGTGCTCATCGTAACTCTAGTTTTGCAAATATTTACTTTGTGAGGGTCTTTACCATTTATTTTACGTTTTTTTTTAAGTAAATGTATTTAGATATACATAGCAAAACACACAGTACCCAAAAAACCATCTTAAGACTGAGTGTCTAATGACTTACAGGTCAAGATCATATATAGTAATGACAAAAAGTGTAACTAGCAAAGAATGCGTTTTCATTTTTTTCCCCACTATTTTATCAAAAGGTTTCCCAGTTGTTAATATGGATGTTGTGGTTGCTTGGGAAGTCACCAGACAAACAACAGATCCTTTACAATGAGATTTTGAGCATAGGGGATTCCCCTCTTACTGCAGCTCAATTAGGACATATGCCTTATTTGAAAGCTTGTGTCAAAGAAACATTCAGGTATTATTTTAGATTCTTATCGAGGCATAACAGTGATATTATATAAATACTTTATTTTGTTCGCCCTCTAATTTTTCAAATCCTTTATTAAGGAATGTCCCTCCAATAGCAACTGGAATCGCCAGAAAACTCCAACAAGATACAGAAATAGGGGGATACCACATACCTAAAGGAGTAGGTATCTGGTATATTTTTTTCGGTCATTTTATAAGTGATCTGCAATTTTGATCAATCTTAAAATATTTGTTATAATTTGATGAGAGCCCTTTCAAACCTATGATACCGACATTGTAAAATGTGCTTTGGTAAACTGTACTCCTTTTGCAGACCTTCATGTTTTTCTGCAACAACACCCTGTCTTTGTCCGAAGAGCAGTTTGAGAACCCAGAAAAGTTTCTCCCTGAGCGGTGGATAGAAGGGAAAAACGACAGCCAGAAGCAGAGACTTATGGGACTCTGTGTACAACCATTTGGATTAGGAAAAAGAAATTGCCTAGGGCGGCGGTTCGCCGAACAGGAAATCCACCTGGCTGTTATAAAGGTACAGTATATTTATCAGGTTTCGTGAAAAATGGGCATGATTTTAACGTTATACTCTTACGCGTAATTTGTTGTAAACTGAAACAAGACTTCCGACATATATTGTAGAAAAATACGTTTTTTTTTATATATTTAAAATATGGCTTTGAAAAGTGTTTATTATTAAATGTTAATAACATCCAGGCCTGTCAAAGCAATTTCAGTTGGGAGGGGGGGGGGGCGCACAACCAAATATTTCAGTTTGGGGCACTACCAAGCAAAAATTGCTTGACGAGAGAGAGAGAGAGAGTCATCAGATGTTATCGATCCATAGATATATAGACTTCACAGAAAAGCATATCGACCGAGCACTTATTATTGAGGGGGTATACGCATAAATTAGCTATATACCGGAATATACATGTATCAGCAAAATTATTGAAGGGGGGGGGGCACTCCCTCACTCGTATCACTTGTATCACTCACTTATATAACATTCTTAAAGGCACCGACTTCAAACAACAGAATTGAGAAAGATTTATGTTTAATTTTATTTTTGGTCCGTGAGTAGACGGGGGTGTGTAATTTTGCTATTTCTGTTATTATTTAATAATTGTCAGGAAAAGACAGTCGTACTAACTACTGTATGATTGAGTTGAAGGTCTAAATTGAATGTTTCGATCCTTAATCAACTTTCTAGAGAGTTATTATGGCCTTTAATTGGTAAAAAACTTATGAAATTTACTCGTCGGGCTATTTTGCTTTGTGACTGTACGATTTTGAATTACAAACTGAGGTAAAGCTTGTTCCCAGTGACCCACTTTATACAGACTTCTTGACATACAATAAACTTTTTTGTCCTTTGTACGCATATGTTCAGCTAAATTTAGATAATAATTTACATGGGGTTGTGGTTGATTGCCACAGATCAAGTTAAAGGTTTGGGCTTTAAGATATCTACCATTGAATGATCTTTAACTCGAAAACTAACACATAAGTAGGAAAATCAGTTATAATATGGTTTAAATTTTATTTAATGAGGCTAGTGTACATATAACTCTCACTCTCTCTCTCTCACACCTTAAATTTGTAACAATTATAATAATAGCTTAAATTAAATCCTTGGACTTGATACATAATTATTTTATATATTTTCAGATTTTACAGAATTTTGAAGTGGAGGTAACTGATGACTGTAGAGATGCCCTTCCCCAGTACACAACATTTGCTGTCCCTGATCGACCAATCAAATTCATATTTAAAAGGCGATGACAATCATATCATTTTTATCGCCTATGCACTTGAATCTCTCAGTGCGTAAAGCTAGGTTACAGTGTACCTACGACTATGGTTTCATTATTCTCTGGTTGGTCGGGCACACACCGAGCTACTCTGTCAGCCAATATCACTCATCCCTTGACGGTACATGCCATCGACCGACGTTATAGTTTACTGAGAACACCGAGTGTATCCCTTATATAATCCTAACGTTATATTCAGTGCGCAATACTCAATAATTGTTTCTACGATCATATAGCAGTTTTTTGTTTGTGATGATGCCTGGATGCTATCCTAATTTATGTTTTATCCTAAAATATATTTGTTGATCAATTTTCAACTAGAAAATGTATTATATTGATGTTTTTATTCATATTTCCTTTAAACATAATATTAATTTGAGATTGTTTTGAACTTTTGAATGGGTAGACACAACATGCCTGGTGAATTCAGTGACAGTTTTTGTGAACATTTTCGTTGCCTTCGGATTTCAGAAGCTGACGGATCTTTAGTAGTCTAACGTTTCACATAATTCCTGTAATTCTCTGAATCGGTGTATGAAGTAGACTCTACAATACCTGCAATAGTTTAACATAAATTGAATAAAAATGTGTGATGAAAAATGAGGGAAGTTTTGGGACAGGTAAAATGAATCGTAAGAAAGATTCAACATGTTTTATAAAACTTTTTTCCTTCTTTGGATTTAAAAAAAAAAAAAAATAGATATCTTTAGCTATGTTTTGGAAAACAGCCATAACGCATTAATTGAAATAAAAATTTATACGTCTCTCTCTCTCTCTCTGTACGTACATGTATATAAAATTATATGCACGATGGACACATTTTACATGACGTGCTTCTTTAGATTTGTTATGGTACAACCACAATAAATACATATACAAGTGAGAAAAACTAACTTCAAAGGTATAATAATCCGTAACTTCCCTGAACTTGAATAAATTGCACACTAGTTGCGTCATAATTTAAATTAAGGCTTTTGCAGGCCACGTATTTTGACCGTGGGGAGCCAACCAAAAGTGGAGAAGGAACCGATTTTTGTCCCCCGCTTTCGCGAAAGCGAGGAGACATTAAATCTCATTGGTCTGTCACAAAAACTTTAACCTTGGTCATAACTTTTGAATGAGAAGAGATAGGGCTTACATATTCACATGTACATTACCTGTGACAAGACCATTCTAAATATACTTTGATTATTGACCCCGTGGCCTTGAAGTTTGACCTACTTTTCAAAAATGTTAACATTACTTTAAATTAGCCATAACTTTTGCATGAGAAACTCAAAGGATTGGGCTTTCATATTACACATGTACATTACCTGTGACAAGACCTTTCTAAATGTACTATCACTGTTGACCCCGTTGCCTTGACCTTGAAGTTTGACCTACTTTTCAAAAATTTAATCTTTGCTTATAACTTTTGATGAAAAGGAGGTAGGGTTTCATAACTGATATGTACATTACCTGTGACAAGACCAAATATGCTGAATTTTGACCCCCTGACCTTTAAGTTTGACCTTCTTTTCAAAAATTTTAACATTACTTTTAATAGGTTATAAAATTTGAATAAGAAGTTGTAGGGCTTTCATATTACACAGGTACATTACCTGTGACAAGACCTTTCCAAATGTACTATGGTTTTTGAACCTGTGACCTTTAAATTTAAACTACTTTTCAAAAAAATTAATCTTTACTTATAACTTTTGATTAAGAAGAGATAGGGCTTTCATATTTGATATGTACATTACCTGTAGCAAGACCTTTCCAAATATACTATGTTTTTGGACCCCTTGACCTTTGACCAAGACAGTTACAATATGCCATAAATAATGGCATTCCATCCACTAAGACAACGAAAGTGAGGGTTTCCACAATTCTTTGAATTTGCTTGTTAGTTTAGTTTTCAGCATATTTTTTTATCTGGATGGGAACTGGGGGAAAAGTAGGGGGTGTTGCTGGCACAGTGTGTTCTCTGGCTATGGTTTGAGAATACTCTCACAAAAGAGGGATCTGCTTCCTTGGAGTTTTAACTTGTAATTTCTTGTAAAGTTTCCACATTAAGGAGAGGATATTGGAGATCTATATAATTATAACATCCAAATTCCTACGTATCATTCACTCCATAAGACTCAATTTAAATCAAAACAGGATATTTAAAATATATAAAGAGTACATCATGCACCTCAAAAGACAAAAGAATAAATGCATATTTTATTTGACTTTTACTTCATTACTTCTGCATGTTAATCTTTATGTAGCATGTTTGACAACTGATAAATGAGTCTGAACTATTCTTCCTATCACTTTATGCTGGTGACATGCACGTCATCTCTAAAATCAATTGTTTCATATGGAATATTTTTCTGCACTAATCCTAGAGCCCTTCATGGTGGCATAACACTGCTGGTCGATCCAATGTCTCTTCATGTCTTCTAGGTTTATAATCTTTTCCTTAAGCAGTGAGAAAAAATAAGATATTACCATATATAATGTATTACATAAGTTGCAATTGGAATGAAAACTATTTCCCAACAACAAATGGACACTCTTCTTAAAGTAACACATGCTTAAATCGAAGTGCTTGGATGAACAATTTTCCTTATATCCAATAAGTTTTTAGTGAATTTTAAACTTACCCTGGAACAAGAGTCACTGTCATAATTATGTGTGAATTCATTATAAGTGTGTTCACTGTAACTTCATGTATATTATTATAGAATTTATGTTTCAGCATTTGTGCAACTCTTGTAAGCTAAAAAATCATTTACTTACTCTGTCACACTTTTTACAAATTTAGATTTGTTTTTAGTCTGATAATGATATGTATTATAAATGTCTACATATACTGTCACTTGTGAAAATGTGTGATGATGCCAGTATATGCTGGCAAACACTATATGTCATAAGTGACAATAAGCAGGATAGTTATATATATATGACATAACAAATTTCAAAAATTCAAATAGTTTATACTTGAAATGTACATAATTAACAAGATATTTTTGTGAAACACTGATTGCCTCATATGGCAGCTCATTGCATAAGTTAAAAGTTTCTCAAATGCAAGTAAAACTTCAAGGTCAAGGTCAATAAGTAAAAAATATTGGTACCTAAAGAAAAATCTTGTTTCAAAGACTATACACATGTACATGTAAAATATGGAAGCCCTTGCACCAACCATTCAGAGTGTGAAATATAAAAGATCTTGAACCAACCATTCAGAAATTATGGTGAAGGTAAAAGTTTTTTTTTCAAAAATAGGTCAAACTCCAAGGTCAAGATCATGATATAAAAAATGTTGATACTAAAGGAAAGGTCTTGTCACAAGAAATATACATAAAAAATATAAAAGACCTAGCACCAACAGTTCAAAAGACATGACAAAGGTTTGAGTTTTTCAAAAGTAGGCCAAACTCCAAGGTCAAAGTCAAAAGGTTAAAATGTTGACACCTAATGGAAGGTTTTGTCACAAGTAATACACTAGTGAAATATGAAAGCCCTAGCACTAACCATTCAAAAGTTATGACCAGTGTTAAAACATACTAAGATTTTGCAAAAGTTGGTCAAACTAAAAGATAAAAGTCAAGAACTCAAATTTGTTTGCACCCCAAAAAAATGTCTTGTCACAAGGAATACACATGTAAAATATGAAAGTTCTAGCTTCAACCAATCAAAAGCTATGGGCAAGGTTAAAGTTTTTATGGACAAAAATAGAGCTAGACAGATGGACAGACCAAAAAATATATGCCCTCAAATCAAGGGAACATAAAAAAGTTGATAAAAAACTGGTGATTTATGAAGCAAAACAATAAATTTAGAAGAAAAAATTTACCATTATTAATAGTCACAATCTGTATTTTCAGTATAACACCTGTGTACCCTTTGTTTTATCTTTTTTAATGACTAAAATAAAGGTTATTCTTACTATAGACAAATCTCGCAGTTATCATTAATACTTTTTACTATTGGAATTTATTGATTAGGTTTTTCTAAGCACCTCAATTCAGACCATTTAATTTACACATACCAGTAGTAAATCTGATGTACCGTATTTCCTCATGTTCATGTTGATGTATGATGTAAATGTATTGATCTGTTTCATAAACTGAATTTTTCACTCAGTTGCCGAACACATTTCAGGGTTGTCCCTAAGGATTGAAATAGCAGGGGACATTAAAAAAGTAGAAGGGGTCTGGGTTGCCTCCATTGAGGGAGGGATGAGTGGGAATACCAGAGTAACTGGGGGATTACGTCATTAAAGGCGGGAAATTCCCCAGCCCCCGGGTCTTAGGGACAACCCTGCATTTAGATGATTTACAGAATATGATTTCTATATCTGAAACTAAAACAGCTTACCTACCAAGTTGAAGGAGGAGACAGTGAAAAAGATCATCAAGGACTGTTTTGTTTTCCTTTTTAATTTTAGAATGAAATTCCTTTCACGTCTTGTTTGGCTCCTTGGAATTCTATGTTGATTGGTAATAAAGAATTTACCTGCAGGAAAAAAACATTAATTGACATCATTACATCCATTAACTCCCACACAATAAAGGTGTAGTTAGTTAACAGGTGCCAATAAAGAAGCGCAAGAAAGACATCTGGCGGGAGCATTATATGGTGTCTGGAAAAATGTGTTAAGGCTGCATATTTAATTATCGAAGGAAAAATATTACAATGATAAATTTCAAAACCAGAAGTCTCTGACAAGACTGTAGCTCTACTGGTTTTGCAACAGCGATACATAGAGTAATGATCCTTGGTGTAGTCTCTTTTTGTTTTATTGAGATTTTTGTATAATTAAGTTTTATTGCAATCAGACTAAATCTGTAGAAGGAGTAGCCTTTTAAAAGAATTTTATAGAAATTTCAATTTTACTTTTTAGTAACCAAGACAACATCATTCAACAAAATCAAAAAAACAATAAAGACAATTTTGTATCTTAGTGTAGTCTACTTGTGTGCCAAGTTATACATGTACTGAAATCAGATCAAAACTGTAGGAGGAGTAGCATTTTGAAAGTATTTCAATGAAATTTCTATTTTTTGTAACAATGGCAAAATCGTTCATCTAAATCAAAAACCGATACACAGAATTATGTATCATAGTATAGTCTACTTGTGTGCCAAGTTATACTGAAATCAGACCAAAACTGTAGGAGGAGTAGGGTTTTAAGAGAGTTTCACAGAAATTTCTATTTTCAGTAACCATGGCAACATCTTTCATCGAAATCAAAAATAGATATACAGAATTATGTATCATAGTCTAGTCTACTTGTGAGCCAAGTTATAATGAAATCAGATCAAAACTGTAGGAGGAGTAGCGTTTTGAAAGTATTTCAAGGAAATTTCTATTTTTAGTAACTATGGCAACACCGTTCATAGAAATCAAAAACCAATGAACAGAATTATTTATCTTAGTGTAGTCTACTTGTGTGTTAAGTTATTATATTAAAATCAGATCTAAACTGTAGGAGGAGTAGCGTTTTGAAAGTACCTCCCAGAAATCTCTATTTTTAATAACTATGGCAACACTGTTCATTGAAATCAAAAACCGATACATAGAATTATGTATCTAAGTGTAGTCTACCTGTGTGCAAAGTTATATTGAAATCTGACTAAAACTGTAGGAGGAGTAGCATTTTGAAAAATTGTTCACAGATGGACAGACAGACGGACACCTTACTATTGCATAAGCTCTTCTGGTCTCCGACCAGTAGAGCTAAAAAAAAAGAAAAGGCGTAATAATTCTTCATGATTCCATGATCATGTAATTGTAAACAAAAACTATGTTTTGACAGAACTTGAGGGTACAATGTATTTACAAATATTTGAAATAAAAAGATGACATTGGCCCATATTGCTTTAGCTTACATGGTGTACACAAAATCATAAAAAAAATGTTAAATTATTAAAAGTTATCAAAATTATTAAAAATTATAAATTATGAAATGAAAATATAACATTGGCCCATATTGCTTTAGCTTACATAGTGTACACAAAATTGACAAACCTATTACTGCATACTTCATTTGATCCAATTTTCTTTTTCTTTCCTCTTTTTGGATCAATATTATTTACATAGTAAGTGTAAGCCTGAATGAAGTATCCAAATGTATCATGTTTACCCTCCTCAGACCTTAAGGAACCTCTATTCACCAATGAAAAATGTTTAAGAACAGAATATGAACTCTTTAGTATGCAGTGAATAGAGGGTCTTTAAGGATAAATTGTCTTTCATATGACAGAAAGGTCAATCACCTTCTCATTTCTTTTCACAGTCTGAACTGTTATTAAAAGCATGCACAATGTAAGTGCATTTAGATTAAGTGTTTGTGCAAAGGTATAACACAACTGAATAATTATGTAATAACATTTGTCTTTATGTTTGTGCAAACCTAATGGTAAGGGAGGGCATCTAAGTACAAGCCTAGCAGAGGTTTCTGGCTGATAACACTTTTTTATTTATCCTATTAGAAGATTGCAAAAGCTGTTTTATCATGACCTTGACTTTCTCTAGCTTTTCAAAGGCTGAAAACACTTTGATTTGCCGTAAGAAAATTGCAGTAGCTAGTTTAATTTGTTCCTGACTTTCTCTGGCTTGTTAAGGGCTGATAAGACTTTGATTAATTATATGTTCATGTACCTGTTTTATTTTGGCCCTGATTTTCTCCAGTTTGTCAAACAGTTCCTCATTGGTGGGATCAAATAAAGGAAGCTCTTCAATGAGTTTTATCACACCCTGTAAAACCTTGCAAACTCTGTAACAGATAAAGTTAAACTTTTAAAAATAAATACAGTATATGTACATCTACAAACACTTAAAGGCTCAGATCAATCAGACAGATGCTGAGTTGTTTATCACTATTTCTAGATGTGTACCTTGTGATTTCTTATATAAGGGATAGGGCTGGGACGATACAGCTTTTTCTATATTGATATGTATCATGATATTTAAGCCATGATATGATATGTATCACGATATGTTGAATTGGTTATAAAATCTTTTTTTCGTATTGAAATGAACAAAAATTTCTTCACAAATAAGAATTATTTATTCAAAGAAGGTGTATATCTGTTGTAAAACAAAATTATTTTACATACTGTAAATGTATTATATTTGGCATGTAAGATATTTGGCGGAAATTGATTTTTGAACAAGTTAGCGTAGATTTGATTTAGCGCATTTCTTAATGTTCTTATTTATGAGTATATGTGCAAAACATTTAGCGTTGTACTTGAATTAGCGGAAAATTCTATCCGCCAAAGGTGCTTAAAGAATACACAGCCAAATGTAATATGTTTACAGTAAGGGGTGTTAACTATTATGTATTTCATATTTATATTTAGCATATTTATTTTATATATTAAACCCAAACTGTTAAGTAAACAAACAAAAACATAAGTCAGAATTTTTTGGGCGATATTTCAATGTTTCTTCATAAGTATCGATATGGGTATTGTCCTAACACAGAATCGATAATACATATCGATATCTCGATATATCGTCCCAGCCCTAATAAGGGATATATATTTAATTAACTTATTAGTTAATAAATAAACAAACACATAAACAAACAAATAAATGCCTACGAAAAAAAAATTGATGAATTTTCTGTCACAAAACTTTTGTTTCAATTATGGTTATTCTTTACATCATCACTAAAAGTAAAGTGTTCTTATTGTAGTTTATCAGGTTTCCTTATTTACACAAAAAAAGGCAACAGAAATGTGTTCTATACCTTAATCATGTACAGTTCATTTCAAAAAAAAACACAATATGTTGAATCACAAGAATGAAGATTGCAATACATTAGTTATACATACTATAGAATGACACGGGAAACATATTCAATCAAATTTAGGGAACTAAATACAATGAACCTGGGTAATATACTTTAGAGATCAAAGGAATGGAAAAGTACCACAGGAATAATAAATGATTAACAAACAAAATCTTCTCAAAATGTGCTGTACATGTATGTTAAGCTTTATATTTGGAAAGAAACCTTTATGTACAATAAATGTTTAGAATTTGCATAGAATGGAAAGGTTTGGGTAAGCCTATGATGAAACAATAAAAATACCTATTTACAGGGAAATGAAAGTTATAAACTGTGAAAATTAAACATAGACAGGTTATCTACCTTTGTTTCTTGTCATCATCTTTAAATTTCTCAAGAAGAATTCCAGAAAAACCAGAATAAAATCCAATCTAGAAAACAGAATATGTATAAAAAATATATTGTATAAATAAAGTGAATCCTTTACATATTTAAAAGGGACAATACCTTTTATGTTTTAGTTTCTAGATGCCATTCAAAAAAGCTTATCATTTTTTTTTTTATCTGCACCATGATTACCTCTTTAAACATTTTTTTTGCAAAAACATGTAGTCCATAAGTATATTTTAATTTGCAGATAAATGCTTTGAGCATATGGTAACAATACACTTGTAGAACAAAATCTCATTTTTTTTTTATAAGCAAATGACCCTGCGAATTGGATTTCAATTATTGGCACACTTTTAGATATTCTGAATTATTGATTAATTGAATGGGTGGTATGATGAAAACACTGATAACGATGCTTTAGTGTCAGTGGTATTGAACATACATATGGGGCTCAAAAACTCAACGCTTATGCCTGGTTTCTGTGGGGTTAAGCATATGAGGGTCATCTATTCCCCCTTGATGGGATGCTAGTTCAATGCAGGTCAACTCCCTGCATTTAAAGCCAGCACTCATATCAGCTGGGTGTGCTGAGATAATGGAGGTAAAGCATCTTGTCTAATAACACAACACACAACATCAAGTGGCCACAACCGGATTTGGACCAGCAACCTTTCGATTATTGGCCAAACACCTATGACAGTCATGTGCTTCAGTATTATATATACATACATGGTATAAAACAATACCTCTGAGCCAATAGCGGCACCTTTCTCCCAGCCAAGCTTGCATCCCTCTTGACAACCTCTTTCTCTGCCTACACTCAGTCCAGCACTGTAACCCTCTTGGTGGAACCTGTTAAACATTAAAACAAAAAATTGAAATCATTTTATTTTTACCAGTTACTTACGTTTACACATAACTTTTTAATTTCATGCCTCCTTAATAAAAAAACAATACCCAGGTTTTAACTGACTATTTCATATCCATATGATTGGGAAACCAATTTCTAATCAATAAATGACAACATTGCATGTGTATTTCCCCTTGAAAAAAATTAAGACCACATAGACCTTGAAAAATCACCTGAAAATCCTGTCTCTTATCATACACACCTATGATCAGCTTAACCATGTTAACCTTACCTTGAAATGGAAATCTGAAACAATTTGACATATTTTTGAAAAAAAAAAAAAATTTTTTGAGATATTATACATGTATATCACAAACGGGATTTTATATCTCATTTGGACAAACAGTGTAATATACAGGTCAAGCACAATCTTTTGATTAAGCTACATATATTCAAATGTATGTACCTTGATTTAGCTATTTTTTGTATGTCATCCTTAAATGTACAATTTTTTTAGCATGTAAAAAAGTCACACTTTGTTGATGTGATAGTTTTCATGCATCTTTGTACTGCTCTGAAAATAACATGCCAAACATATGTGTCCTTCATAGAATTTAAAATTCCAAAAGTTTTGGGGTTACATAAAATAGTTTATTTGTGGCCAGCCAGTTATTTCATGAATCAATCAGAAAGAAATTTTATAGGAAAGATAAGACAACTACAGTAAACAAGATAATTTAGCACAATGTGAACTCACATTAAAGATGAACACGACTCATAAACAAACATACACTATATTAGTCTTCCTGTCTCCAATATCAGCACTGGGGTATAAAAACCCTTCGCATTCATTACAGCTGGTTACAGTGGCATGTAGCACACATAAATATTATGTTGCCCTTTTGTATATACATTTTATTTCACTGAATGTGCATTTGTGTCTGTTTTACTTAGTCTTTGAAATGCATTGACATATGCAATTGATATAGTATGTAGTACATCTTAGGTAACTTTATTTCTGATGTGGCAGAAGCATACAGAAGTCATTTCTGTCCACCCAAATATATTATGATAACAATGGAGGAGACGTCCACACAGGTGAAATCTGTAAAGTTAAATACATTGAACCGTGAACAAGGCTTAAACAGGGGCTGGAGGAACACAGAGTAGAGAAGAAAAATATCTGACAAAGATAACTCTCTTCTTTTAGGTATCATGTTCAGATTTAATATTACACTTATACTTATCCATGCCTCACTGCACACAAGGTGATGTACAGTTAGCCAAACAGTAGCAATACATAATTAGCTTAAAGGTGTTCCACTTCAATTTCTTCAAACAGCATGAACTTGCTTGAATGACCATGGGTCAAGGTCATGAATACCTAACGGACATGAGTTTATTTGAGTGAAGAGTTTATTTGAGTGAAGTATGAATTTCCAATGTTTACCCTTAAGAAAATTACAGACCAGATACAAATTAAACAGTTTTTTTTCTGTCAGTGACCTTGAACTTGCAAAATGACCTTGTCACCTTGGGTTAAGATCATGACACAACTTTAAGTCATAAGCAATCTTTGTGTCAAATGTCACCTTCAATTTAACTCCATAAGAGTGTTATGAACTTGTCACAAATAAACTATTTCAGGTCAATACATACCCTGGTAAGCAATCTCTGTGATGAGTAAAAGCGTCTAATGTTCTCCATTAAAAGATATGATCAGGACATGAATTAATCTTTTTGTTTTTAAAAAGCGACCTGGAACAAGATCAAATGACCTTGGATCGACATCATGACACACCTTCAAGTCATAAACAACCTTTTTATGAGATATGAACATCCAATGATTCTCCATACTAGAAAGTTGTAGAATGGACACAAATTTTACACTTTTTCTGCCAGTGACCTTGAACTTGCCAGAATGACCCTGGGTGAATGTCACAACACACTGTCAGGTCATGGTCAATTTTACATCAAAGTACAAATAAAAGCTTCCAGTGTTTGTCTATACTGTAGAAAAATAGGGGATTTTTTACTAATAATGTTGCCTACCTTATTATAAGGTGATGACGAAGACACAGGTTTACATGTTGGGTAAACACGGGTACATGCAATATACAACAAAGCAGGTAACAAACGTGGTGAATAGTAGGACTGGTAGGACTCGACTGATGTGGGAAGCGTGCCGGCATGGGTGGGTGGCTTTGAGGTCAAGGTGAAAGGTCATAGGGAATATATTTACATATGGAATTTCACTACAATACACATTTATGGCACGATAGCATGGACAGACAGACGGACAAGGTGGGTTCCTATATATCCCCGAAAATTTGTTTGCTGGGGTATAACAATCAATAAAGCAGAATAATAATAGCGAGCTCTAACGACAACGCCTGGGCGAAGAGAAAATTCGGACTACTGCACATTCATTCAGTAGAATTTTTTTCCGCAGTAATTCTGGACCCACAATGCATCGCTTGTTCTCGCTGCTAACTTCATTCGAGCGGTAACAACAACTAAAAATTCACAAAAAATAAACTCACCTTAATTTAATGGATATTGCATACAGATAGTATATTAAACATTCTTTGTTAAAATCTTCGCACTTTTTAAACTTTGTTAATGAATATGCAACTAACATACGTTCCAAATGTCTCGTGCGGTTTGAAGAGGCAGATCTTAAATGAAGTGAACAATGCGCTCGCCCCAACGGTCGCACCGTCAACATATTAACTCACTAAAGCTATCTGCTTAGTGGGGTAGTGTGTGATGGAAATAGCACAAGCGCTTGGTTTCAAAAGGGTGTACTTTGTGTATTATTTGTTTTTCTAGGTGTGTCTGAATATACTCATTAAAATAAAATTAGAAATTAAAAAAATCGCTGAATTAGCACGTTTTAAAAATATCATATTACTATATATAAAAACATTGTACACCCTCCTGAACAACTGAGACTGAAACCAAGCGCCTAAGGGAAATAGTAAATTGATAAATCCACTTTGGTAATTTTTTAGGGATAGATTTTTTATCACTTTACCTCTCTTCAGACATTATAATGTCGTGAAATATGTCGTCTTCATTACTGGTCATTTTTAATAAAATTTTCTCTGAAATAGTTTAGCTATTTTTATTTCTTTGAAGCGTCTAATTAACATGGATTTTTTCAACTAACTGGGTCTTTAACTTATTCGATCAAAATCTTTCTTCCTGAATTTAATTTTAAATATGTTCATAAGTATAAGACAACTATTCTAATTTCAAATAAATCGTAATCAAATATTTTCATGTATTCTTTTTCAAGACTATAGCTTTTAATTATAAAAAAGAAACGAAAACTAAACTAAAGCTTCTTCACGATAAAGATTATTTTTTATTGTGTCAAGCGGCAAGTTGAAGCACTTGCACCTAAGTGAAAAAAGTGCAAAACATCAAAATATCCAGAGTTTAATTGTTTAAGGTTGTCACATCAATCACAAATAATGAGCTCTCATGCAGAGGAGAAGTCGTCACATACAGAAAAAGAACATAAAAGAAAATCTGCAACTGTTGAAGACGTTAATCCAGAACGTGTAAGAATTGTCCCGAATTTTCTCACATTGTTTTGTATAAATAGTGGAAAATAGCATATAAATCACAAAAAAGCATTCTAATGATTCTGACATTAAAAGTTGCATGTATTTACATTTCACTTGATCTCTTTTTTTAACAGGGGAATTCTTTTTAACTGTGGGGATACAGAAAAACTTCTTAATCAAAATTCGTTGTTTTTTAAGTTTTTGATGTTTTTGATGCAGATTTACAATTTTTATAGCTAAAAGGAAAAAAAATGTGCAGTTATTATCCCTTTTGATATATCCAAACTGGATAATTCATTGTACATGTAACAGGAAAGGAGAAAATGTATGGCTGAACTGGAATCAAACCCGGGACCCCTGCATCACTAGTCAGGTGCTCTACCAACTGAGCTACCCTGACTTATATCCATGGCCCAAACAGTTACATTCCTCCCTCCTTAAATTATCTTCACCCTGGAAGACACAACTTAAGTTCTTATTTGCTCCTGGCAAGACATTCACCTGCAAGTCCAAGGGTGGTCAACAGCACCAAAATTGTATAATGGGAAAGAAGAAAATGTATGGCTGGACTAGGAATCAAACCCTGGATCCCTGCATCATTCACTAGTCAGGTGCTCTAGCAACTGAGCTATCCTGGCAGATATATGTGATAGAGTGATTAAATGACTGAAATAATTTAATAATACTCACTTAATAAAATAAATTAAAATATCACTCTATCACATATCCACATATCCATGGACCAAACCATTACACATATAAATAAAATTAATATAAATATGATTATATCCCGTGTGGTCAATTGGTCCCAGCTTGTTACGCTTTTATTTTAATAAGTTTAGTAAACTTAGGTCAACTCATGTTCATAATGTTAGAATAATTTAACTGTGTTTCAAAATAAGTCCTCACTAAAGTTAAAATACATAACGTATAGCTGTACTGAAGCAGAACTAAGTTAATCTAATCCGACACAAATTGGATAAATATGAATATCGCTGAGCTACAATATAATCATAAAAAATACTTTTGCAGTGTTTTTCCTTCTTAACCAAAAGAATAATTGATGTAAAGGTACCAGCCAACACATCATACCAATGCTATTTTCTTTCAAACTCAAATATTTTGTAGTGTAAATACTGTAGTGCAAAGGAACAAAAAGTACCATCAAGATGGGGTTTTGAATTTGCTGATTGATCTTTGCTTGACTCCACAGATGAAAGATAACTCAAAGAAACTGTTTTTCTGTATGAAGTCTCATAGATTATTTGAAATAATCTAAAATGTTGCAGGTGCATTCAGCAAACAACTGGGAAAATGTGGATCTTGGAGGTGATGAGAGGAAAAAGAAATTTTTACGTTTGATGGGTGCAGCTAAAGTAAGCCTACTTACTGGTATTCAAAATAATACACTGTAGTATAGCAAATTAGTTTACATTTATCAAATAAAATATTAAAGGAAAAAAATCTCACTTTGTTGGAAGTGTCATTTTGAAAATTAGTAAGAGAAAAAAATTAAATCTTGCCCTGTTGAAAGTGTTATTCTGCCAGAAGTTTGTATCCAGACATATTGTGTACGTTTATGTATTAGTATATCTTTCATTGCTTGCAGAAAGATCACCATGGCAAAATAATCATTGGAGACCATGAAGCTGTCCATACTAGATCAAGTAAGAACAAGAATTTTAAAACATTATATTGATTTAATGTGCTGAAAAATATTATACAATTATGGACTCTTTTGATGATGAACATGGTTTGTTATTCACCAGACGGGATACAAGTGCTTCTTTATTGTAAACCACTCATTTATTCCTTGAAAATTACCTTGATACATTTTAAGACAATAGATGGATACAAGATCTTTCGGTTGGGGTTACATATGTAGGATAAAACCAGAGACTTCCCAGTTTTCCATTCTGAGGTTTCTGGTTTTATCATAGACTACAACCCTAACCGGCATAACAGGCGAAGTTTCCAACTCTCATTGATGTCCCCATTTATATATGAAATAAAATTGTAAATATAAATTTAAAAAAAATGTTTAATGGATTTAAAAATACACAAGGCATCCCATGTTAAATTCAATATTCTCCGCCCACTGCTGTCAGACACAAAGACCGCCGCTCGAGATTGATATGCATATTAGGCTCCTGACCTTTCACTTGGCAAAATTTAAATTCAGGTGTAATTATCAACAAATAAGCTCATCTTACTTTCAAAGAGTTATTACAGAGAAAACAATTAGAAATGTAAATATTTGCTAATGTATTCTTTAAAAAATGTACTTAGTGATTGTTAAAATTGTGTCAGGTTTGGTTGTTAAAAAACTTACATTATACTTACTGATTTTAATGAATGAAAATGTAATTGTCTTGTTTTGTAAATTAAGACCTGAATAAAGGACTGTGTGTGACAAAGAAGGCCCACTACATATAATGATTGTAATGACTAAACTCCTTTGTTGTAATTTTAGAGGATGAGACTGTACATATTACTGAAGACTTAGAAGAACAGTTTAATCAGGGACTAGAGCACAAGCTAGCCAGTGGGTTCAAAGGTCATTTAGGGCTGGGATTTCACAAAGAGGACGAAAAAAAGGAGGGCGAAGAAACAAAGGAAAGTGAGGAGAGTGGTGTCATTGCAAAGGAAGATAACTCTGGGGAAGACAGTGTCCCAGATACAAAGAGCACAGACGGAAGTGAAAATTCTAAAGAATCACCTCAAAAGCACAAATTAGAGAGTGATGAAAAACAAGATGAAACTGTGAAAAAGAAAATGAAGATGAATTTTGTTAAAGCTAGTTCATGAAACTTTGAAAAATTGTTTCATAAAATGAAAAAGCATAATTGCTGCATAAATAAAAACTGTTAATTGTGACCCCAGAATTGTTCTAAGGTCAAGTCCCTTGACATTTTGTTATTGACAATGAATGACATGATTTTATTGTTAGATATTGTTGAAGGACTTGTACAATGACTACAGCAGGACATGTATAATTATTTTTTTTTTACACTGAAGTGTCATAACTTAAACCATGCCATACCAAAAATGTGTATCATTAAATGCTGTGCTCTTGTACATTGAATCATAAATTGCTTAGCAGTGTCATTTTGCATTAAAAAATTCATCTGTTTGTTGTCAATTTTGATATTTTGTTAGATCATGTAATACAGAGCACTAATTGATTGATTCTTTTCAAAGGCATACCTGGTAATTTAGGTATAAAAATAAAATACTGGTATGAGGAAGTGTGTGATATCTATCAGATGAACTTGATAAAGAAATACAGACATTGTGGATTTTGAATCTTGTGCATGAACTAATGTTATTCTACCCTTTCATTTGATCCAAGAAAGGGGGGTGTAAAAAGGAACTTGAGGTTATCAAATAGTATATGACATGCATACTTTGTATGAGATACTGCTTCTATAATTGAAAAAAAAGGTGGTACATGAACTAGTGCATATAGAAAAAATATCCAACTTGTTCTGGCCAACTTCATTACATAGGCTTAATGGCTGGCCTGGACCAAATATGATTGAAAGTAAAATGAAAATTAGACTTGTTGGGAAACCCCTCCCCCCCCCCCCCATAAAAACACGATTTTTATTGTACTGATACAAGTATTTAATCAACTATTTTTTCTCAATTCTTCACATATAATGTTATAACAGACTGCTTCCAAACATTGTTTTGTTATAATCCAGGGTCAAATTCATGTATAAAACTGAAGTCCTATTAAAATAGATACAATCCCTGTAGGGATTCCTACACCAAAATGGAGAAATTTGTAGTTATATCTCACATGGCTACTATCTCATATAATGAATGCTTATTAATGCCCCTGTACACTTTTCATTTTTTACCAAATTTTAGTCAGTTTTTACATGGTGTCCCTTCAAACTCAAAATTTAACCAGGAGAAGCCAGGTATTGTGCTGCTGAAAAGTTTACATAGGAGTATATATGGGAAATATCTTTTAAAAATCTTCTTCTCAAGAACAGCAAAGCCATTTTAAGTCATATTTATACAGAATCACTGGGGGTAGTGTAGATTCAAATTTGTTCAAATCATGACCCAATGAATAGGGTGGGTCTAAAACAGGGGATCAAAGTTATACATAGGAATGTATAGGAGTAGTCTTTAAAAGTCTTCTCACTAACAACAAAGCCATGATTGGTCAAATAAATTCAGAAGCATCCCCGGATAGTGTAAATTCAAGATTGTTCAAATCATGACCCCTGGGAGTAGGGTGGGCCACAACAGGGGAACGAAGTTATGCGTAGGAATATATAGGAAATGTCCTTAAAAATCTTCTCAACAACAGAAAAGCCATGATTAGTCAGACATGTATTTATATTGAAGCATCTGCAGGTAGCATAGAAATCAGATTATTTAATTTCATGTCCTCGTAGGACAGATTAATAACCGGGAACAAATTATTTTCTCACCTACAAAAATAAAAAGATGCTTATGGGTCATATCGCTCACCTGAACACTTTCGCCAGAGAAAAGCAGAAAATATTTCAGTATTGAAAAGTTTAAATATACATATATATGGGGCATGATCTGAACAAACTTGAACCTACACTAACTGAGGATGCTTCCATATTTCTTTAACTAATAATGGCTTTAAAAGATTTTTAAAGATTTATTCCTATATAAGTTTGATTTTCTTTGCCCCCCCCCCCCCCCCCGGTGGCATAATTTGACAAACTTGAATCATCACTACCTTTGTATCAATTTGACGAATCATGGTTTTGCTGTTTGTGAGAAGATTTTCAAAGATATTCCCTTTATAAATAAATAAATTATATATATATATAAATATAAATATATATATATATATATATATATATATATATATATATATATATATATATATATATATATATATATATATATATATATACATGTGTGTGTGTGTATGTGTGTGTGTGTGAGGGTGTGTGTGTGTGGGTGAGGGTGTATGTGTGTGGGTGTGTGTATAACTTTGATTCCCTGTTGTGGCTCCACCCTACCTTCGGGGGTTATGATTTGAACAATCTTGAACCTATACTACCTGAGGATGCTTCTCTATCAATATGATTCATCATGGCTTTGCTGTTCTTGAGAAGATTTTGAAAGATTTACCCTATATATTTTGTTCCTATGCATAACTTAGATCCCTTGCTGTGGCCCCACCCTACCTCCAGGGCTCATGATTTGAACAATCTTGAATGTAAGCTACTCTAGGAAACTTCAATATTAATACGACTGTTCACGACTTTGCTGTTCTATAAAAAAATTGAAAAGATTTTTTCTATGTATTCTTATGTATAACTTTGGAGCTACACTACCCCTAGAGGTCATGATTTGAAGAAAAAAATTGAAATTACACTATGTGATGTTCAGCTAAGTTTCATCTTTTCTGACCCAGTGCTTCTTGAGAAGAAAAGTTTTAAAAGATGGCATTAAATTTTTACTTATTCTTGATTATCTCCCCCTGAAAGAGGACGCAGCCCTTCATATAAACAAACAAAAAAAAAAAAACCCCTTAACTAAAGAATGCTTATTGGCAAGTATGGTTGAAATTGGCTGGCCCAGTGGTTCTGGAGAAGAAGTTGAAACTGCGAAAAGGTTAAAGACAACACACGACAGACAGACAGACGGGCGCCGGACATTTTTGATAGGAAAGTCTCACTTGAACCTTCGGCACAGGAGAGCTAAATGAAACTCCACCCTAACAAATTAAGGACCCCCCTCCCCCCTTGAATCAGATGGTTGTTCACTAAGATTTCGTATCTTAGGGTCACACTAATTTGCGTGCTAAGTTTTTTTTCTTAAAACTTTTTAAAAATTGTTACATAAAAAACAAGTTTATATCTATTTCTTAAATGAAAAGGAGATGGGCGAACAAAATGCATATAGCTTCAGAAGTATAAAAATCATATTGAATATGTGAATTAAATATTTAGAGTAAAGTTCTATTTATTGAAAAATATGAAATGACAAACAAAACTTTTCTGCGGAAAATCCTTCCGGCAAAAATTATCTAATGGTTAATAAAAAAGTGGCATTGTGGTTCGAACCCAAGCAATTAAAACTCCAAATATATATTTTTTTCTTTTAGACTAACACGCTTACCATTGCGCTACACAACTCACAAAAAATACAGGAAACTAAATCAATTTTGTGATATACCTTTGACTAAATTTTTCAGAAAGAAAGGAAATCTTGTGTCATATAAGTCCAATTTTTAAGGTATAGTGGGTCTTTATAATTAGATATAGTGGGTCTTTGCTCCATGTTTTAGTTCACTTAAAAATGTATAATTTTACTCATACGTTGAGGATAAACTTTCAAAAAAAAAAAAAAAAAAAAAAAAAAAAAAAAAAAGGAAGCCGAAGACCAACTCATATGGAAAAATTGTGTAATAGAATGAAGAAATTGTCCTTTTTGCCCTCTTTAGTGTGTGTATGCTATTTCATAGACGAATAATTTCAATCTTTGAGAGATTGTTGGAATTTGTGGAGATTTTACATAAAGTATACATTACTCTTTAATGAAATACATGTATCAAACAAAATTTTGCTATAATTGAGATTTAATTTATCACTTTCTTATTATTGTCGCACCTTATGCATTTGCTCGATCGCTATATATATATATATATATATATATATATATAGAAAGCACAAAGAAATTCACTTTTACAAGGATACCCATGCACTTCCGCCCCAGTCCGGGGTTGAACTCTCGACCTACGGAATCTGTCTCCTAGCAGTACAGGAACAGCGCGCTAGACCGCTCGGCTATCTAGGCAAGTCAAAAAACTTGCTTTCGATGCCGATGGAATTCTCGCGGCGCTGCCCTAGGCCTACACTACACGGTCATTGAGAATGAAAGTGAGATACAGTTATTTGGACATTAGTTTTATTAGAGGATCGTTACCAATACACGTTTTTTGTAATGAAATTAATTTTAATTTATAAAGCACATTTTACAACAACTCTAAAACTAACATAACTGCCCTAAGTGAAGAAATATTAATATAGAAAGCACAAAGAAATTCACTTTTACAAGGATACCCACTTCCGCCCCAGTCCGGGGTTGATCTCTCGACCTACGGAGACAGTAGAAGTGGGTATCCTTGTAAAAGTGAATTTCTTTGTGCTTTCTATATTAATATTTCTTCACTTAGGGCAGTTATGTTAGTTTAAGAGCTGTTGTAAAATGTGCTTTATATATATATATATATATATATATATATATATATATATATATATATATATATATATATATATATATAAAAGAGTATAAATAAATGCATGTACATGTATTGTACTATTAATCAATGAAATAGTGCCAAATATAGATTTATCGATCAATGCCACAGTAGGGAGACGAATAACTCCGAGGTGCATCGATGGTTAGATAGCGTACATTTCACAATACCTACGGTCTCATTTCCCAAGTCACATTAGATATTGCGAAATGTACATCGAGGGGTATATAAAGAGTTTTGAGCGGGCAATGTGATTATCAGAAATGTGAACGATTTACTATTCTCTTTGGAGAGCTAAAAAATTAGGGCCCTCAAGGGGCGAAACAGTGTTGAACGCCGTGCAGAGGAGAAAAAATAATATGGTAAGTTTAATTAGTGAAAAAAATAATTATAAGGAAATTACTAAAGAGTTTTAGTAAAAAAAAGTTTTTAAATTACTATTAATATTTTAAATTATCAATGCATCACCTATGGAGTTATTTGAAAATACTGATGCATCTGTATCGTAAAGAGAGAGAGTGGACGTAAAAATACATGAATGAAAATAATGTTGTACATCACTATTATTTTTCTTTTAACAATGAGGCAGCATCTAAATTTGTAAATCGTTTATACTTTTTAATTGTCAATAGGTTTTGTTAAGCATGATAGCAGGGAGAAATACACCTGTAGTCTATTAAATGTTCATACAGGCCCGGTAGCAACGGTTTCAAAAGTGGGGGGGGGGGGGCACCTTTCAAAAAAAATAGCTGACAAGCAAAAAAAAAGGGGGGTGGAGGGCAACTTCCCAAAATAATCTGACAAGAAAAAAGAAAAAAAATAAAAGGAGCAAAAGACTATTCAAGTCTACAAATCCTGGAATTTGTCAGTGGCCGGGGAAGTTGGAGGGGGGGGGGGCAGTATATAAAGGAATTTTACTGTAGCAAAATACTCGGAAATATTCAGTGATATTATCAACTCTGCAGAATTTGATATACTTTTTTTATATTTTGTTTGGAAACATCGAAAAGGCATAACCAAACATCAATTTATATACGTATATATTTATTTTTATATACAAATAGTGGTGATCAAAAAACCAGTTACTTGGAGGTAATCTCATCAGTTGTTGATTATACCTGTGATAAAAGTTTGATGAAATTAATAAGGAATTGGTTGATGACGATCTTGTGCTTAAAATTCACTATTAATTAGGCTATATATCACCATTAATACAACTTCATGTACATGTACGCCCACATACACAGAGAAAAACTGATTCAAGTAATAATAGAGCCCCGTGTTCAATTGCATGTTGCAATGTAAGAAATATTCCAAGTATACAAGAAAAAATTACCATTGTTAATTGAATTGACAAAACCCCCTTTTTTCAGGTGAAATTTTCAGAAGAACAATTGCGGACGGTGATGTCCCGTCCCAGTCAGATACGAAATATCTCGGTCATAGCCCACGTGGATCATGGCAAGACCACGCTAACGGACTCGCTTTTAGCAAGAGCTGGAGTCATTTCAGCTGACCAGGCGGGGGATAAGTGTGCCATGGACACACGAAAGGACGAACAACTTAAGGGAATTACCATCAAGTCAACGTAAGTTGTATACCGTTAACTAGAAGTTATTCCTATTTTTAGACATTTTATTCATTTATTGCATTAAATAGTGTGAATCAAAGATATATCATTGATATTTTCTTTATTTTTTTCCAGAGCAATATCTCTATTTTATGAGATTGAAACAAGGATGTTGCCTAAAGCGCGTGTCCAGCAGGAAGAGGAGGGAATCCGTGAGTACCTCGTCAATTTGATTGATTCCCCTGGTCACGTGGATTTCTCCTCTGAGGTTACGGCAGCATTGAGAGTGACAGACGGAGCACTAGTTGTAGTGGACAGCATAAGTGGTAAGTGTAGACTCGTTTCATTTCAGACTTAAACGGCACTTTTTGTCCGAAACTTCATATCTGATTGTGGTAAATTGCAGTTCGAAGAACACTTAAAGGGACTGTATGCTCGAAATATTTTACTAGAATACCAAATATAACTTGTACATGTTTCAGGCGTTTGCGTACAGACGGAGACTGTTCTACGACAGGCATTGGCTGAGAGAATCAAGCCAGTGCTTATGATTAACAAACTGGACAGATGTATTTTTGAGACACAGTTGGAACCTGAAGAACTGTACTGCAAATTACGCGGGACCATCGAACGAGTGAACGCAATTCTGGCAACATACAGCGAGAACGACAGCTGTTTGAGTGATACCACGGTACGGACACCCAAGCCCAATTTCTCAATATCTACCTTGATTAAGTTAGTTAATATATAAGATGAACTTTAATTGTAAGGATTTCTATTATTTTGTTCGCAGTTGGACCCATCTTTAGGAAATGTTGCTTTTGGATCTGGATTGCACCGTTGGGGCTTCACCCTTAGAAAATTTGCGAAAATGTATGCCGCAAAATTGGGTACTGATGAGGACAAGTTCATGAAGAAGCTTTGGGGAGACCACTTTTATAATCCGGAAACGAGGAAATGGAAGAGAACGGAAGGAGATGGTTATGTTAGAGGTTTCAACAAGTTCGTTCTGGAACCATTATTTAAGGTATGAAATATATCAATGTACTCGCCCTAAATGGATACATTTAGAACACGAAGTATACTAATGATCATTGGAGAGAGCATGACATTTTCTTTTCTTTCACAGATGCTTAAAGCAACCAAGTCGATGGCAAAAGAGGAAATATTTAAGCTGACAGAAAAACTGAGTTTGCAACTCTCAAGTGAAGAGAAAGCTTTAGAAGGAAAGGAGTTTATGAGGAATGTGATGATGAAATGGCTGCCTGTCGGCGATGCGATGTTGGAGATGATAATTGTGCACTTGCCATCACCGGAAGTGGCCCAAAAGTACCGTACAGAGATCCTATACGAAGGACCGAATGATGACGAAGTGGCGATAGGTAAGAATTGAACGTTTATACAGTGTAAGTACTAGTACAAAAATTTTCAAGGGTGCAATACAAGTCAATGAAAAGAGTTGTGTGTATATTGGATTTTATATTTCATATTTACATCTTTCATATAATACAGGTACATTTGTATGTGTAATTTTATTTCGAAACGGACATCTATTGTATCTTTACTCTTTGTAATTAAAGCAATGAAAGAGTGTAACCCTGACGGTCCTTTGATGGTCTACATCTCCAAAATGGTACCATCCACTGACAAAGGTCGGTTTTTCGCTTTTGGACGCGTGTTTTCCGGAACCATATCCTCTGGAATGAAAGTACGTGTGATGGGTCCACAGTACGAACCCGGAAAGTCGCATGATCTGTTTTACAAGACTAACCCTAGGGCTGTCATCATGATGGGTAGTAAGATAACCTCAGTGGGAGATGTGCCGTGTGGAAATGTTGTAGGTCTTGGTGGAATAGACAAATTCTTGGTCAAGTCTGGTACAATAACAACATATGAAAAAGCCCACAACATGAAGGTACGGTGTAGGATAGTATGCACAGATTTGATTTGAATACAGAACAGATGTTACAACAATTTCTGTTTTTTCTGTTGACTGACTTGTTTCTTGTGTAAACAGGTGATGAAGTTTTCCGTTAGTCCTGTCGTGAGAGTGGCCGTGGATGTCGTCAATCCTTCCGATTTACCGAAACTTGTGGAAGGTCTTCAGCGATTGGCCAAGTCTGATCCTATGGTGCAGGTAAGGTAACTCCATTTACCACTACAATCCGATCTTATGACTATTAATTAACAATACCATGATTGTATTTTGTTTCTGTTAATCGCAGTGTTCTTTCGAGGCTGGTCAGCATATCGTTGCAGGAGCAGGAGAGCTCCATCTTGAAATATGTCTGAAGGACTTGGAAGAAGATCACGCTAGCGTCCCCCTCAAGAAACATGATCCTATTGTCACTTATAAAGAAACGGTTTCACAAAAGTCCAGCCAAGTCTGTTTGTCAAAGTCTGGAAATAAACATTGCCGCGTTTTCATGACGGCGGAACCCATGCCAGACGGTCTGGCGGAAGAATTTGATTCAGTAAGTATAAGCATAACTTCTAAATTGTAACAACTTCAGTGTAAAGTATATAAATAGCTTATGCTTGTACTGTGAAAGTCTTTTGAACAGGTATTTATAATTTCAAATAGTTGAATAATGACTTCACGTCAATTTTTAACATTTATTTCGAAGTTAACAATTGACATTTTAAAATTGTAGGGAAAAATTAATAATATGAGAGATGTGAAGGAGCGCGGACGGTTTCTAGTGGAGGAATTCAAAATGGATTCACATCAAACAAAGAAGATCTGGTGTTTTGGTCCTGCCTCATCTGGTCCCAATATGCTAGTTGACGTGACTAAGTCATGTCAATATTTAAATGAGGTCAAGGACACAGTCGTAGCCGGATTCCAATGGGCAACAGAGGAAGTATGTGCTCATTAGTACACAAATTGGTGACAATTTTTAAATAAAACTGGTCATATGCAAATGATTTTAACATGAATTTCATTTAACAGGGTGTTCTCTGTGAAGAATCCATGCGAGGAGTGAAGTTTAATTTGGAAGACCTTAGTGCGCATTCTGACCCAGCCCACCGGAAGGGAGCACAAATGATTCCAGCAACTAGACGATGTTTGTTTGCTTCTTTCCTGACAGCCCAGCCAAGAATTCTAGAACCTGTTTATCTGGTAGATATTGAGGTTCCGCCGTCAGTGATGGGAGGAGTTTTCAATGTGCTGTCAAAGCGACGTGGTCTCATGATCGAAGAACAACAGAAGATTGGGTCTCCAATGTACAGCATAAAAGCCCATCTTCCTGTCAACGAATCTTTTGGTAAGCTTTATTTTCAATGTTTCTTTGTAAAGTTTTCTGAATTTCAACAAACGATGTTGTTTCACTTGGTGGTCAGTTGAACTACTATTAACAATATCAATCCCCCACTCCACCCCACCCTTAAAGATTGCCGTCACATTGTGTTTTGTTTGATTTTTGTACTTTGTTTTGAAGTTCTATAGTAAAGACTAATATTTTTTCAAGGTTTCGCTGAGGAGTTGAGAGGACAAACAGGCGGACAAGCTTTTCCCCAATGCGTCTTTGATCATTGGCAACTTCTATCGGGTGACCCTCTGGAGCAGACGTCACGAGCCGGAACTGTCGTAGCCGACATCAGACAGCGGAAAGGTCTCAATCCCGTCATACCCAAACTTGACAACTTCCTGGATAAACTCTAAAAAGCGTACATATTAATGAAGCTGAAGTATTTTGTAAAATTAAAGGATGTTCATAATGAAATACCAAATTTCTTAACATCAAACTGTATTGTGAAAAAGAAAGGAAAAATAAAAGACACTGATGCTAGTCACAATTATAGAGTTTTCTCTTCTTTATTCCTTTGGAGAAAAACGGAACATGTATTCAAACACAAAGAAGTACATAAACTTAAATTACTGCAGTTTTGTTTTGAGAAACATATATTCAACGACAACGTTGGCTATCAATGTTTTTATCATATCATATACACATGGTATTCATATTTTACAGGTAGAAAGTACACTACCTGCAAATAACTTTATCATACTAAAGTTAAAGAAACTTAAGAATAGTTAAAAAAAATCATACGAAGTGCACGATTAAAGCTTCAAAACAGTAAAAGCACCACAATAAAATATTTTTTTTCAAAGATTTACATTTTTTTTTAGGTGAAATATAGTTTAAAAAACCAAGCAAAGTACACCATAAAAGGTTCAAAATAGTAAAAGAACTATACTTAAGTAAAATTTTCACAGATTTTGTATGTGAAATTTAAATACCAGAGATGAAAGAGGAATGATTTCAGTTAAGATTCGATATTTCGTACAAATGTTTGCAACTTAGGAATTTGATAAAAATTATTCTTTTCCATGAAATGAAAGGTTTTTCAAAACATGACAACCTTGTAAAAATGCTGTGATATTACAGGAAAAAGAAAGACTGAAGTTTCGAAGTGACGTTAAATGATTTCGAGTAAGCAAGGTGCAACTTTTTCAATTTCTTTAATTTTTTAAATCTCGATAAGATAGCTAGTCCAGTCTATTAAATAAGAGGTTTGAAACGTAGAGCATGTATTGAAATGTGTAAACACTATGATGCAAAAGAGCAAGACTTTCATCAAGAATGGTTTTATTTACGTTGCATTGTGTGCAGGTTTTGTTTGTATGTTGTTTAACGTCCCTCTCGAGAATTTTTCACTCATATGGAGACGCCACCACTTGCCGATGGAGAGCTATACTCGGCACTTACGGCCATTGAGCAGTGAGGGATCTTTTTCGTGCCAGCACCTACTGCGACACGGGACCTCGGATTATACAGTCTCATCCGAAGGACCGGTCGCCACGTCCTACAGTGGGATTCGAACCCGCGACGTAAGGAACAACTCCTTACTTCGCGACTCTACAGCAGACGCTCTAACCACTGCGACACACGGGCGACTTGTCTGCATGTAAAATATGATATAATGTAAAATAACATAAAATATGATATAAAGTAAAATAACATATTTTTGCCCCCCCCCCCCCCCCCCCCGCGAAAATATGTGATTTTACATCATATCATATTTTACCTGCACACACGCGGGCGACTTGTGTGCAGGTAAAATATAATATAATGAAAAGTCACACATTTTCGAGGGGGCCAAATTTTTGTGGTTGCAGGAAAAAATATGGGTTTGCGGGGAGCTAGGGGGTGATTTCGTGGGTGAAGAATTATTGAGTAGTAAGAAATTTGAAAAATATGTTGGAAATCGTGGGTCTCTTCATATCTCGAAAACCTATGAAATGTATATGTAGTAGACCATATATATACATGTAATTTATTTTGGCAATTTTACAAAATGTTGTATCAGGAGAAGACTATCTAAGTTTTTGAACTTGTGTCTAATCCTTTTGACTCTTTGTCAATAAAATATGTTCAATTCAACCTCGAAAACAACAAAAAGTGATTTCACAGTAGGTAGAAAAAAAAATAATAATAAAATGGATATTAAAATTCTCCTTTCAAAATAAAATGAATGTTGCTCCAAAAATTTTTTCTCTCTGGATTATCCTTCGGATACTTTAATATTTAGGAGTTTTTTCTCCATCATGTCACGAAGGTGTAGTGTTCGTCAGGATTAGATTTGGCCTTGTAAAGATAAAAAAAAAAACATTTCCTCTCTTGCTCTTTGGTGGAAGCTTTCTATTTTCGCCATTCTTAATTCAAATATACACCAGTATAATTTTACAAATTGGATGAGAGCTGTGTGCCGACTTTGATTTCTGTTGACATATTTTCTTCGATGTCATATACGAATTACCAGACGTGAAGACACAATTTCAGGCCCCATTTCTTTCAATTCTCTCGCTTTGAAAAGAATCGTTTCCGAAATTCCAAAATGTATGCATTTCTTACCTTTAGGGCATCTAATGACATTGAAGGAGTTTAATTGTGATGGAAATCAAGCATTTCTATAAGTCGTGATCTTTCTGTAAGGAGTCTATCACATTTCAAGTTATAAAACTGAAATTCAGTCAACCATTATGATCTTCTTATAATTACAGAACTTTGTCAAAAAGCTTATTATTTACACACACACACACAAAAGATGGTCATTCTGAATTGTGACAGTTACTGCTTTTATATCAGCCAATTCCTTGCTTCTTGCACCAGAAGATAACAGTTACACAGAAGATAACAGTTACACAGAAGATAACAGTTACACAGAAGAAACGAAAGTAAATGTAACTTTTTGTAATGATTAGTTCACCACTACTATCGAATAAGGAAAAGGCACGCAACAATACTTTGCGGGTTCAAAGTTTTGCAGGATTAAAATGTATAAACATTTTAGATCAGTGATGAAATTACCGTCGATCAAGTCCATTGTCAGCCAATGATTGGGCTATTAGTCGACAGAAAATCCATGTAACATTGAACTTCAACAGCTCGATTTTATTGCTATCCAAATATAAATCAGTTAGAGATGTATTCTGTAGATTCCAAACATCGTCCAAAGTGACTTTTGTTCCCATTCCAAAAATGCAGTGTATTTCTTTAACTCTCAAAATGTCTATTGATGTGAATTGTAAATCAAAAGTAAGGTTTTTAAGATTTCTAGATGTAAATTCCTTATAATATGATAAATCTAGTTCTCTTAGACACGACAATCCAGAAAATGCATTTAAATGCGAGTATTTTATTTCACAGTGGGTCATAAATAATGTCCTTAAATGACTCAAATGTTTAAAATAATCTTTTTCAATTGTTTTGATTTGACAGTGTCCGCCATTGTTTCCCGAATATCCAAATAAAAAAGGTATTTTAGATGGGAAAATCCGCTACCGAATCTGCTATTAGGAAGTCCATTGATAGACAGATGGCTCAACTGAGAGAGCAATGAGAGGCTTTTAGGATATATCTCATTGTTTGGAGATTCCGGGTTCTCTACCTTTAAGCTAAGAACTTCTAAATTGTGTAAGGGTTCAAACACTGTAGAAGGAAAAAACTCGATATGTCATTGTATGCCAAATCTAAATTCAGCATTTTCTTCTAAACTTGGAGATATACTGATTTGTACATAAAATAATAAATTTTACAATTCTGTTATTTTTTGACATTTAGGAATCTCATTGTTTATATTAAATCCAACCCTTATTGAAATAGGTCTGTATATATGTTGGCTATAACTACTCCACAAAATGGCAAAATATTACAGAATAAAATACATATTGTACTGTTTCACTTTCCTTCTTACAAAAGACACAACAATCTATAGTTTTAATATTAATTTTCTTAAGGTAGTAACTTACGGGAAGAATCCTATGTAATAATCTAAACTGAAGACACTGAACAGCTGTATCATTTGTTACTTGAAAACAACCTTTGAAAACATCATGTCCATAGATACACAAAATGGAAATCCATTTTGATGCAGATGTAGGTTTAACGTTGTGTTTAAAAAAAAGTGCAATGGTTTAGTGAATTTATCTGACTGAAGCGAAAATTCAAATTAAAAAGGCTCATGATTATTTAAAGTTCTTTTGACTGAAGATCTTTCAATGGGACCGTTCACGGTAGCTCAGTCGGTAGAGCGCTCGCTTCGTGATCGAGAGGTCGTGAGTTAGAATCTCGGCAGCGACTGACCTAAGTCGATAAAAAATGGGTAGCAACTGTTCCTTCGCCATGCGCTCGGCACTTTGAAGTGAAAGTTGCGGGTCCTTCGAACGAGACCTTAAAAACCGAGGCCCCGTGTCACGGCAGACGTTGGCCGATAAAGATCACTCACTGCTCAGTGGCCCTGAGTAAAGGTCAAAATTTGATGTCCTTCACAGGTATATGGTGACGTCTCTATATGAGTGAAAAATTCTCAAATGGGACGTAAAAAACATACAGTCAATCAATCTTTCAATGGACATAAATTTCAATTATTTTGATACTGCAGTAAGAACACCATTAAATTGCATAATCTGCACATGTATACTTTATATGAAAGGCAAAATCTTTCTTTGAAGGAATCATAGTCTAAGAAATTGCCATCCTCATCTAAAACTTCTTTCATATTTTCACATTAAAACGTTTTAATACATTACAAACACGTTTTTTTTTTTAAAACAAAATACTGAATGTTACTGATTAACATGATGCAATGGTTTGTAAATAACAGATTTCCCCGTCTAACAAAAAATTTACATGCACTTGATGCGCAGTTTTGCAGTCTTCATTGCTTTGTTATTGAACCTTTACAGGGTTGTATTATACGCAAGTGACCGATATAGCCCTTAGATTTCTTGTTCAGTGTTTCAAAACTATAAATATCAAAGAGGGGATTGTGAATGTGTGGGAGTGTGTTTACAAAAACTTTTCATTATTCTATTTTTTTAATATATAAATGCAGGTCTCATAGATCTTGAGTAAAAAAAAATGAAATTAAAGCGACAGTACGGCTGAAAAACGTGTGTTTTTCAGTCAAATTTACCTAATATATCATTAAGAAATGAGGTATAAAGTTGATGTCAACAGTTTGAGAAACTTGAATATTCTCTCCTCTAACAAAATAAAGTAATTAGAATCTGCCAGAAATCAAAGGGTCGTACAAACCGGAGCAATCTTAGATCTGTTTATTTGTACTACGTGAATTCTGAATGACACGTGCCTAAACTGTATAGTTTACAATTATAATGGAATATGAGGAAAAAGCAATTCTCTAAAGCAAAACATTATAATTTTTACGATAAATTATTAATCGTGAACTTTTTAATCTGCTTTCAGGCGAATTTTAAAGAATTA